CCCCACAGCCTTCTCGGTTCTGACCCAGGCATTAACGGGCCAGATGGTGCTTATGGACACGGAGTACTGTGCTACATGTGGAGAGAGGGGTGCTGACAAGAAGTGTGCCTTCTGTAAAATGGTATAATGTGCTTCCTCTTTCCTTAAGTAATCATGACTTGACATCAACATTTATTCAATTAACATTGAAGTTTTTGATCATTTTGTAGCCAAACTTACAAATGTTGTTAATATGATTTATTTTACAGTTAATCACACATAATGACCATCTGCAAAGTATACTAATGATTTGAATTTGCTATTTAGCATGTGGTTTCTCTTCAGGCATATAACTTTCCACATCCTTAACCTACAGCCTTTTAATTAAGAACCCCAGATCATTGACCATTTGGCTATACCAACCTAATCCAACTTTTCTTTTGATGTCAGAAATGCAACACAATTATTCATTTAAAAGATATCTATAGCTTCAAAAGTGAATTTAAAGTGCACTGATGAGTTACATTATACAAGGATTATTGTTTTGTGTTCTTAAGTATGCTCTCTTCTCATTATGTTGGAGTTTCACATGTTGCTGAAACACTGTTTTCCCATAATGCTCACATCTCTTTGCAGGTGGTCTACTGTGGGAAGACGTGTCAGAGGCTGCACTGGTTCACCCATAAGAGGCAGTGCAAAACCCCTGTGCCACAGAGAGATGCTCAATTCAACCACCAACCCAAACTGAGAGAACTCTCTAGCAATGGTAAAGTGTTAGCATATTAGCATGTCATTGGTTAGTTACGAAATGCTTGATTTGCTTGAGTTAGATCTTACTGGAGCTTATATAGTGCATTTGGTCATGACATTGAAGGACTAAGGATTGATGATAAAACAAGGGTCTTTACTATGGAAGCTTTGTTCTTGTCATTTTATGTTACATTATGTTTCAGAAGTGAAGTATGAAGCTTATTTCGTTTGTGTTTCCTGTTTCCTCTCAGCTGATGACAGTGATGTAGTGAACGCCGCCAGCTCCATGCTGGCTCTTTGTCTGGGGTTGTCAGAGTGTGCACTTCAGCACAGTCCTTCTGATGACTACTGTGAAACCTCCAAGGCCCGTGAAGATCCTCCTCGTGCTGGAAAGGACTGAGAAACAGAAAGATTTTGGCAGTCTTTTCTTTGTACAGGTGAATTCCACCGGGCATCCAGAACAGCCTCAGCGTGCTGTGCTATGCTGTGATTGGTGCACTGCATTTTATAGGAAACAGTAAACCATGATACAGAAGTGTTGGATTGTATTATTCTAAGCTGTGTAAGTACCACACAGAAGACAGGATATGTAGAGCACATGACAAACTTCTAACCAAAGGACAACCTATTTTGAATCTGGGTACCTGTTTGATACTCCAGGGACATAAAGAAAAACTTTGAGAATTTTCTCTACCACTTTAAAGGAATCATTCACCCCAAAAATGAAAATTTGCTGAAAATGTACTCACCCTCAGGCCATTTGTGATGTAAATTTTGTTTCTTCATGTGAACCGATTTAGAGAAATTTAGCATTACATCACTTGCTCACCAATGGATCCTCTGCAGTGAATGGGTGCTGTCAGAATGAGAGTCCAAACAGCTATAGGAGTTTCACATTTTTGCCTGGGGGGGCACATACCGGCAGACCACGAGCTCTGATTTTTTTTTAATATACCATATATACCATTTTCTGCATTCTTTAGTTTTGGGTTTATATATATATATATATATATATATATATATATATATATATATAAAACAAAAAACCGATGAATATCCATTTTGTTTATTTAGCATATCTCTGCTGAAAAAAGTGGGGACAGAACGAGAAGAGAGTCTTCTCACGCGATACTTTGAGATTCAGAGAGAATAGAGCTTATTTTTAAAAACATTAATTAAATAATTTAGCCCTAACTTACTCATTCTACACAGTAAAATAATAGAATAAAACAAATAAAATGAGAAAATGTGAAAATATTTTTTACTCATAGCTCTGGCAAAATCAATTGGCTCTGGTCAAGGGAGGCAGTGCCATAATCCATATGACTCCAGTCCATCAGTTAACATCTTGTGAAGTGAAAAGCTGCGTGTTTGTAAAAATTCCATCATTAAGACTTTTTTAACTTCAAATCGTTGTTTCCGGGTTAAAATACGAGTCCTCTATCCATGATATTGCTTTCTCCAGTGAAAAAGTCTTCTCATCTGAATCAGGAGCGAAATGTGTACTGATCCAGCACCGTTTACAAGGGAAAACAGTACAAAAGAGTACTAAACAAATATGTTGGTGGATTTTTGTGTAAAAGGACAACAGGGGATGAACTTATTTCACTGGAGAAAGAGTTATTATAGATTATAGATTTAGAGGTGACGTTAAAGTTAAAAATGTCATAATGATGGATTTGTTTCTTACACAGCTTTTCGCTTCACAAGTTATTAACTGATGGACTGGAGTGGTGTGGATTACTTGTGGATTACTGTGATGTTTTATCAGCTGTTTGGACTCTCATTCTGACGGCACCCATTCACTTCAGAGGATCCATTGATGAGCAAATGATGTAATGCTAAATTTCTCCAAATCTGTTCCAATGAAGAACCAAATTCATCTACATCTTGGATGACCTGAGGCTGAGTAAATATTCAGCAAATTTTCATTTTTGGGTGAACTATTCCTTTGTGTGTTTTTGTTAAAGTTGGAGTTTTTCACCCTTTTTGTTTCTCTTTTTGCTTGTTTCATAGCATCAGATTTTTAAAAATGTTGCTTCTTGTTTCCAACATAATTTGCTTTTAAAGCAGAACCTCTAAAATAGTTCATAGTGAAGGCTTAATTTGATCTAAACATTGAAGAGGAACCTTTTTTTCCCTTGATCAAATAAAGAAATGCCTTGTAATGCATATATTTGAACTCAGTAGTTTTCCACTAGAGGGCAGCGTCCATCCTCTGAAGATCAAGTGTGAGCTCAAATTTAGCATCAGCAGGCTGTGTACTATTTACTTCTTAGAATGTATAATAAACATGCTTAATTTATCAGAATCACAGTGTTTATGGCAACATAAACCTCTTTCAGGTGATAATTTGATCTCAATAATGATCACCTAATGAAACAGGCAACTGACGATGTTTAAATTTTAACAAAAATGAAACATTTTAAATGAATATGCATCATCATCATAATCGTCAATCAGTATATACTAACATATTCTCAAAACACGTTTGGAAAATGTCCAGTTTAAGCTGCAGTGTCGTAACTGCAGTATACAGTGAGTTTTGAGAGAGCAGGGATCTCCTCCGTGGACTTTCCCACACTTGGTCCTGTTGCACACATCCTAAGGCACTCGCTCAGAATTCTATAGACGGCTCTGTCTGTTCCTGAGCGCTTTGTTCCCAGTCACTACATCCCCTCATCCCAAGGGACTATCTCACCCTGTGGGCCAAACGAGGGTCTATTTAGCACACAGTTGTCAAGTCGCATGTCAATATACCCATAACTCAGTGCCGTAACCTCTCTGTTTCCCCTGAGATTCATCCCTCTCCTGTCTCCATCTATGAGCATGTCACGGTCATTACAGGTGCATGAAAGGACTATCTCAAATATCCGGTTTTTGAGATGCAGAAATTAGCAAATGCCGCATCGTATCGCATGACTTTGATATTCCTCTTTCAAGCCCTGAGGTTGCATATTCAGTGATCCCCAATAAACCCCCCTTTACCAATATGACTAACAGTGCATTTTAGGTAATAAGAGATCATTTTGACAGCAGTGGCTTTTGAATGTTTTTTTTTCTTCAAAAAAAAAAAAAAAAACTTCACAATAATAATGTGTGTTTTCGTCCGAATCAAAGAAGTGTACCTGGGGGCAAGCGGAATGAATTAATCGTAAATGCCTGAGGAGAGAGTGAAACTAGACACTTTTTGAGGGACACATTTTCGGTGGAAGAAAGTGAGCATTGGGCTTTTGTGTTTCCTCCATGTCGTTTGTGTTATGCACATTCATTTGGTGAGCTCATCGGAGGCACCTGTTTGGATAATTTTGGGGTAAAATAATCCAGGGCTATCCTGTTTCATGGGTTTTGTCATGCATGCCCGTACTTTACAGCAATCGCTCTCTAGAGCTCAATGCACCAGGTTCACATGTAGAGGATCTAAATACGCTTGAAAACTCATTCACACCTGAGAGCGCAACATCCTCAGCAGCGTTGCAGTGCAGTGTTTGCTCACATGTATCAATTGAGCTACACAATAGATGTTTTCTACTTTCTAGCACCAGCACTACAATAATAATGAAAGATGGTTTGCATTAGAAAAAAAAATATTTATTTAAAAATTAAATAAAAAAATAAATCCACCTGCAAACTATATGAAAATTCAACAAAATACAATTCAAGAAAATCCATCCATCCATTATCCAAACCTATATATATATATATATATATATATGTATTTCATAATAATGTTATATGAATTCTATTTAATAATAATAATAATTATTATTATTTTGACTTCATATAACATATAATATGAGTATATTAGAATGAAAGTAACATTTAAAAGTCAGTCAGACCGAATAGAATCAGAGTAAAATTAAAAACGACATTTTTCCCAGCAAGGGCGTTTTGGTAGACTATGTAGTGTTTCTTCTTTTAGTGTTGCAGTTTTACACCAAATGTAATTTATAAACGTATTTTTATTGGATTGCATAATCATAAATATTTCAGTTAATAAATGTAATCGTCTGAATACAATATTAATAATGTTTTTGTTAGATTTACTTAAAATTATTCCATGTCATGTTTCTGCGACGATTAGCTCACATCAAAATAATTTTCCATGTGGCTAGTGCAGAATAAGGTTACTGTAGGTGGGCGTGTACTACATCGCGAGGACACGCCCATTTCCAGCACACTTCATCATTCCACTCACTGCTGCTGTTCAAGAATGGGCGGGTATATAACCATGGATGAGAAACAGGTAGGTATGATCATTCTCTGAGTTTTCAAAGAGACACTGAACCGAACTCTTTTGCAATGCCCCTCAACACATGCGAATACCAGCTGCTGTTTCTGCTCTGCTTTCTGATAAAAAGCTGCCATGCTTTCAAAAATGATGGTACTGAAGAGTTTAATGGGCACATGGGCGCATCATCTCACCAGACTCCAAATAATGCCTCCTCAAATCGAGCGCGCAACGGAGGAAGACGAACGGAGAGCCGAGACCAAACCGGTACGTGTTTATCTTCGAAGTGTTGACTCGTGTGTTTATGACATTTTGTAGGATCCATATTTATTATAATATTACAATTTACAAATCATCCAAATCTATACAGTTGTTGGCAATCATTTACATATTTTTATAACTCCAGTCATATTTTGCATTAGAGGTTAAGTGATATATTCAACAAGTCAGAACACCTATGCAACTTCTTAGAACCTGACTGAACACCCTAGCGACGCCTAGCAACCAGCCAGGATGTGTGTGTGTGTATATATATATATATATATATATATATATATACATACTGTATGTATACTGTATATACAGTATATACATATATGCTGTGTATGTATATATATATATATATATATATAATTTGTCTGTCTGTCTATCAGTCTGTCTATGTCAGTTTAACCTTTAAATTTAAAACTTTTAAAACTATTTTAGTCTTTCAGGCTATTACTGTAGAAGTTACTTAAAGTATTATGTATCATATAATTCCTTATCCATTCACTGATTTTTAAAGCATGACATTTTATTTTGCAGAACAGCACCAGGTCGGTTGCAGGGAGCTGAGGTCCACTAAATATATATCTGACGGCCAGTGCACTAGCTTGAATCCCGTTAAGGAGTTAGTGTGTGCTGGAGAATGTCTACCCACACACCTGCTGCCCAACTGGATCGGTGGAGATCACTACTGGAGCAGACGGGACGCCCAGGAGTGGCGCTGTGTCACTGAACGCACACGCATCCAGCGCATTAAACTCCAGTGCCAGGACGGCAGCACACGCACCTACAAGATCACCGCCGTCACATCCTGCACCTGCAAGAGATACACGCGCCAAAACAACGAGTCCTCTCACGCACCTCAGAGTCCCTCAAAGGATCATCCACTGCAGAACCCCAAGAAGAAAAAAACCAAAAATAAAAACTCAAAGCTTAATTCTAAAAATGAATAGATATGAGAACCTCTCATTTATTGAGGGTGAGCTATACTGGTGCAGATCTGACCACCACAGCCCTGCTCATGGAAGGAAAGTGACTGTGAACTACAATGACACTGACTTGGACTGCAATGAGATGTACAGCTGTTTTTCTTTATATTTTCAGATGTGGATTATTTTATGACTGTGTATGAGTGTGTGTGTGTGTGTGTGTATATGCACTTTTTGAGTGTAATATGGTTAATGTTTTTATACCATGGTCTGTCTGAATACTCAATTCTGATTGGCTGGCAGGTAATCATTAAAACCGTTTAATGCACAGGTAATTCCAAGTCAGTTTAATCCCCGTTCTATATAATTGCGCTGCTTTAATTGATGCACACAAACACACACAACTGTCATCCCTCTCTCTCTTGATCGATAATTCATTCAAATAAATGCTATAATTCATTCAAATAAATGTGGTTTTACCACTCTATGTTACTCTATGTCTGATTTTGAAGCGAGCAGAATGCTAGAAGCAACGAGCTGTAACTGACGAAAATAACCATCATTTTTACCCATGTTTGCAAACATCATTAACAGCTTTAACTTGTCAGTGCTGGCAAATGACCATGGTGTAAGCGGGATAATGCATGGCTAGCACTCCGCAGAGGCAACCGGGTTCTTGGCTTCCACATCGTGCATTAAAATGGTTTAATGCACAACTAGCCGTGCATTATCCCTTACGTATTAATAACCTAATTACATAAAGCAATTATGTATACTATTACAAATGAAAGACGAAAGTTAAGGGATAGTTCATCCAAAAGTGAAATTACTGTCATCATTTACTCACCCTCAAGTTGTTCTAAACCTGTATGAATTTCTTTCTTCTGTTGAAAATATGATATTTTGAAGAATGTGGGTAACCAAAGTTGCTGGTAGCCATGACCAAAAAACACCATGGAAGTCAATGGCTACCGGCAACTGTTTGATTACCAACATTCTTCAAAATATCTTCTTTTGTGTTCAACAGAAGAAAAGGTTTGGAACAATTTAAGGGTGAGTAAATAATGACAATTTTCATTTTGGGTGAACTATCCCTTTAAAAACTGACTCATTACTACAGCTATGTAAATATTTGCATTTCATATGTAGTCGTTTTTGAATAGAATTACATTATCTATTTTTATATAATTGTTTTATGAATATTTCCAGTTGACATTTACATAGTTGAATACACATTTATACAATAAATTAAGTAGTTTACATATGCTGGTGTGTATCATTTTGTTTACGAAGTGGAGTCCACTGACCGTAGCTAAAGGCAAGGTTGTAGAATTTCACAGACCGACAGAAACTATGTAACAAATGAGGAATTAGTTCAAGAAGCGAGTTCTTTCTCACTGTGTTCGTAACTCTATGCTGCATTGTTGTGAAGGGCTGCCCTCACCTGCAGGCACATCAGCTACTTTTTGGCGGCAACATGTTAAAACTGCTTCATTGTATCCCGTATCCTTTCATTCTGCCATTCTGAAAGTCATGTTGCCGTGCCTGAGGTTATATTCCCAAGTTATGAATCAGATTCATCATGTTATGAATCCAGGAATCCAGAGGAAGGTGACACTGCATAGGTTATACTGCAAGTCACTGGAGGATGAGATACTTTGTGGATCCTGTAAAAACGGCAATAAATTTGGGTAATCAAGAAAATACTTTCCAGTTTTGTATGCGAGATGCATCAGAAGATCAGCAAACGGACTATGGGCGGTCCTGGGTGTGCTGTCTGAGACAAAATAAGGCTGAGAAACTAAGGCAGGTAATATCATGAGTTTAACGGAAGACGTCTGTCTGATGTCTCTGGTGTGTTGACAGGTGCAGTCAGAAACGGAAGCTTTTGTCTGTACTGATTCTCCATCTCTATAATTATTCCTGACAACAGATTCGCCTCCAGAGAGTTTGAGATGCAAGGACCACCTGCTGTTATTTATAAGCTCATTTACCAAACACATTCCCTAAAAAAGAGAGGGTTGCTCTGATCCACAAAACCCGGCATACTCCCACATACTGTGATATTCAAACACACACTTTCCCTTGGTAATGTGTTATTTGTTTACTCAGGATTCTTAGCTCGGAACACACTTCATTGGTTTTGCCAAAGTTTGCAAGGTTAATGTTGCATATAGGGTAGCGACTTGGTTTGTTTATTGTAGTTTGTGATGTGGAAGCAGTAGCAGATGAACGTGCGCTTGGGGTCTAAGAGAGAAGTCTGCCGTTTCACCAGAAGATCCGGTTGTGACACTTTGTTTAAACATTACTAGGTCAAAAAAAAAAAAAAAAAAAATATATATATATATATATATATATGTTGGGGTAAATTTTCATGCCTTTTATGTAGGATATTCAGAGTTTAGTTTGAGAGACAGTGACAGACTACATTTACACTGATGCTTTGATCAGAATGTATTACTTGGGCAGAAACTGGGATCACAAAATCTACACACATTTTCCTGTACAACCAGTTTCTGTAACAGTTTTAATACATATTCTGTTGGCTATACCAGGGATTCCCATAGTTTTTTGTCAGCCAGTCAGTTTTGAACACAAAAGAAGATATTTTAAAGAATACTGGTATCAGAACAGTTGCTGATTCTCATTGACTTTCATATAATGGCTTTTATGTTTAACAGAAGAGAGAAATTCATACAGGTTTAGAACAACATGAGGGTAAGTAAAGAATGACAAAAAAATAATTTTTACATAACCCAGTTTGAGAAATCCAGTTCTGGGTATTTTAAATAACACCACACTATTTAACATTCACATTTATCTGTATCCTGTGATTAGTGGACCTCGAAAATCCCATAAATGTACATGTCGACACACTGACATAAATCTTTTCATTCATACTTTTATTTTACCCTTGATGCACAAGAACTCATCTCATTGGTTCTCATAATTCAAGAGATTAATTCATTCAAAGTTTAAGAAAAAAAAACTAAATCCTCTCTTGGTAATTTACATACTTTTTTTCTCTTCTCACATGGTTTCATCACTCCCTATAGTTTTATGTTGCTGTGCATCATTTCACAACAATTGTCAGGTCTCAACTGTCGTTGTTTAAAACATACATTTAGAATCCTATGCCATACAGCCCTGAGCAGCGCTTAACTTGAGCTAATTCCTGCAGCAAGTGAAGTATAACTCATTCTGTCAACACAGTACAATGTACCAAAATAGCCTACTGTACCGTAACTCCACCTCACCTACGGTTTGGACCATTACCATAAACAAGACAGCAACCTCACACAACTTTACTGCAAAAAATCTAAAACCAAATGTAAGTGTCAGTGCTGCCTTAAAATTTTATGTTGTGTCAACTTGAAATGGAAGTTGTTTAAACAGAACATATAGTTGGACTAAAAAGCATATAGTGTCTTTTACAGCTGATGAGTTAAATCAGTATTTTAATTGAATATTGTCTGTCTAAAACAACACACACTAATGTTCTGTTTATTGTGTGCATGCATTGCAGTAATGCTGTGTGTCTGCTGCTTTAAATGCTTGAGCTTTTTAAAGGAATAGTTCACCCAAAAACAAAAATTTGCTGAAAATGAATGGGTATGTCACCCTCAGGTCATCCAAGATGTAGATGAGTTTGTTTCTTCATCACAACAGATTTGGAGAAATGTATCATTACGTCACTTGCTCACCAGTGGATCCTCTGCAGTGAATGGGTGCCGTCAGAATGAAAACCAAACAGCTGAAAAAAACAAAATGATAATAATCAACAAGTAATCCACACGACTCCATCAGTTAGCGACTTGTGAAATGAAAAGCTGATGAAGAAACAATCTACATCATGGATGGCCTGAAGGTACGTGTATTTTCAGCAAATTTTAGTTTTTGGGTGAACTACTCCTTTAACGTCAGGTCGGTTTTTATTGTTTTCATCATTCAGCATCTGAAAAACCAGTGATTTCAACGATATTGTTGCTTTGTGTTGTTTCCATTACAGCTGTGATGTGGACTTCACTATTCCCATACAATTAAAATATATTAAAACTTAATATAGCTATCATTATAGTTATTGTTCTTGACATGAACAGGCCTTAATCCACATTATTTATTCATGCAACAGTGAATTCTGGTAATTGTTGTACATGTACTTGAGTATGTGATCTGTAGTACATCTATATTTTGTATGTAAAAGTGGAGAAGCTGAAACTCTTAATTTCATAATTTTCCCAATTTACCGAGTCATGGAAAATCATGGATTATCCATGATGCATTTTAAGGTGCACTAGACTTCAAAATTTCACTTTGCCTCTTGCAAAATTCTAAATTGTGTGTGAGATTAACAACTCACAAGGCTGATGTTTTCATGATTTAACCCAGCAGAGCACACCTGTGAAATGGCTAATGAGGGTATATTGGACTCTTCCTCTCAGCTCTGGCTCTATGCATGTGGTAACAATTCTCAGAGTAATGATGCACAATTAATCATGATAAACTCCCTAGCTATATCCAAGAATAGGGCCAGGCAGGATCTCAGGGAGGAAAGTTCACCTGCAATACTAATCTATTCTATAACTAGCCTGGTAAGATCCAGACAAGAGCTCCTATAAAGTGTCAATTTGTACTGTGTGTGAATGTAAGAAAATCTGCTGTAGAACTGGACTGAATAAGACAACCACATTTGCTTCGTTAAAAAATAACAACACACAAAGCTACAGCATAACCCACAGCTATGAGTTGCAATGACAGGTCTTTACCTAAGTTGGTGATGTTGATGATTTTGTCTTTTAGAGCACAATTTTTCTGAGATGTCTCAAGGCCATTGTCAGGATTTTTTTCTGTTCAGTGTTTACTATGGATACTTCCCACTTTCTTGTAACCATAGCAGCCTTGTAACATCACACTTACACCACTATCTGCAAATCCTTTCATGCAGAGGTTAACGTAGCAAATGTTGCTTACATTGTACCATATTTAAGAGCAGCTGATGCAGCTTAGCCCATCCACTCACAGACATGAGAGGAAAAG